TTGGACTTCGTTTTCTGCACAGCGCTGACGTGGTACTTGATGTGCTCTGCAGCGTCGAGAAGAGCGAGGAATGGAGTTGAAGATTGTCCTGGCTTTGTAGGTGCAGAGCATGAGGCAGTCTCCAGGGCGTGTCCTTCGGGTAGACGTGTCGTTCTTGTCCGATCCAAAAGGCGCCCTGAGGACCCTGAGTTCTTGCCACCACCCGGAGTTGTACGCGAGATCCGACGTGCAGGATTTATCTCTCTTCTTTATCAAGAAAATCTAAGGTTAGCTAAAAAATAATTTTGGTCGATTTTAGCTGTGTGTGAAAATGTCACAGATATATTTTTGTACACATGTATGATACTATTCGAAAGAGTAAATCAAGAAAAATCGGATAAACAGGTTGTTAGCTCAAAGATTTTTGTCTTCATAGCGAAATGGTGCAGGGAAGCAAAAAAGTCAGATTTTTTCGTTAGTTTTCTGAAAAATCATAGTCCAAAAGACAAAGTGAAATTGGATTTGAAGTGCACGAATGGTATGCACACTTACAGATTTGATTAACCCATCCATTTGCATGGCCATAGATGGTCAAATTCGAGCAATTTAACCCATTGACGACGATGTGGACCACCGGTGGCTCACGCCTCTTACAAGATCATATCCTTTCGAGGTCTCGTATTTTTGCCAAAATTCAGTATTTTTTCCAATTTTTTGTGCTTTTGAGACCCATAGACATCGTCGTTCAAGAAAATGATTGTAGTTGTCTACAAAACCACTCTGGACTTCGTAAATAATTACAAAATTCTCTGACGCCGAAAGTGTTGTGCAACATCGCGTCGACACAAACAACAAATCCCAGCTTCCATTGTGGTTCACCATGTAGTCAAAGCTTGCATGTATTCAGCTACGAAATTAATTGCCTGTGCACTTCTACAAGCTGAGTACGAAACCTAGAAATTCAAAAAAGTGATTTTTTGGAGGGCTAGCCATATAAGGCCATAACTGTCTTTGATCATATTTAAGAAGTCCATGTAATGAGTATGTGATAGCAGAAGCTTGAAGCTACCGGCCCACAAATAATCACAGCTAAACAACAGTTACTCGAGTTTTTATGGAGCTTCGAACTTGCACGTCAAAACAAAATTATTATCAGCCACCTAATTTTATAGGTAAGCAGAAAAACCATTGAAGTAGAGGTGAAAACTAAGGAAGTGCGGTGTTGTGCTGGGAGCGCGTGCGTGTTGCGATCGCGCGATCGTTACAAATTTCAAATACACTTTAGATATGATGTTGTACAAGCCAAAATATTTATTTGTGCATGTTGGTGAATACATTTTACATATATATTGATCATCACGTAGAAATCTTGCAGAAAAAAGATTAAGTAAGAAAAAACGAGTAGAAGGCAATCGATGGCTGAAAGTTTTTAGAACACATCACTTTTCGATCGAAATCAACAATTAGACCCGATAAGATTGTCTTGAGAACATCTGTACAAAGGCAGTGTGCATTTTTGGGTAGGAGGAATATCCCAATAACTTTAAAATTCAAAAAAGGGGTTTCCACTCATAGTATTACTTGGGGTTAAAATCAATGGATGATGGAAAAAATTACACCAACTCCCAAAAAATTTCTTAGACCACGTGGTATCCTTTATTTACAGGTCTTTCGCCACTCTTCAGTCGCGACAAACGTCGACGAAGTCTTGTGCGTTTCTGAAAAATCGAAAATCAATATTTTCAAGCTTCAAAATTCTAAACTCATACCGCAATCTTCCCAACGGGTTGATATTTAGGAGAATTCGAGTTCCAGTAGTGACATATCATCACTGCTGTTAGAATGAAACACACACCTAAAGAGAATTCAACGAGTAGCTGGATTTTGCTGAAATTCCTTCAACTTACCCACGGCAACCGATGAAAGCAGCATGAACCCAGATAGTCCATTTACCAGACCTGTACGGTCCTTCATTTTTGAGAGATGATCGAGCCAGATGCCGGTTGTGATTACAGCCAACAAATTTCCTACTGCCGATATGATGCAACATATCAACCACATCATTAGCATCGTGCGCCAACGATATCTAAAAAAAATTTTCTTCAATAATTCAAAGAAGTAAACAGTGTATAGTTTTGAGTTGAAGTGCAGAATCTGTAATTAACAGTTGCTCTTAGGCGGTTTAGGAAGGACGAAATTGTATATACGAGTTATAGAAAATCTGTAAGGGTTGTTTACAAAGAAAACTTTTAATCAGCGTTTGTCTACCTCTAGACCTTAAGAAATCACGATATTCGTTTGATTTTTC